CCATTCAATGAATACAAAGTTTTTGATTTTGCCAACAAAAGGAGCGCAAAACTGGCCCGATAGTGGCCTAGTGACCTATAGAAATATTTGTCGTGGACCTAAATAAGAATATATATTCTAAATCCTTGAACATTTTCAACGTATATCCTATTTTTAAGGGAATTCCTCTTTATTGCATCAACTAAGTAATAGCCTCCTCCTTTTCGTGTTATTCATTGCTTTTTACTCATGATCTATCACTCTTTTATTGGACTACTTGCGCATATTGCTTCTTCAAGACATCTACACTTTTGAGGTCATTCGCCGTCTCTGTTTAAGTCCAGGGAACATGAACACCCTTGGGCATGTACTCACTTTAAGTACATTGACATCTTATTCTTTTTGTTGAAGTAAGAGAAATGAAAATAAACTTTACTCTGGCATATAATATTAGATATGATCCAATAAATTAAAATTTTGGTTTAACATCCCATAATATTTTTATATCGGTGAAGGGTATCATAAAGTCGATTTCGACCGACTATACTTTCTTTATTGCATTTAAAATATAAATAAAATTTAATAGCAACCAGTTAAACAAATAAATATGCATTTAAATATTTGTATATATATTTTAAATATTTGACATTTTTCATTGCCATTTCACATTTATAACTTCGTTTAAGTATTTAACGGTTAACCAAGCAACACTTCAAGTAAAAACCTCAAACACGGTAGTAGGTTGTCCATCCGTTAAATACTTTTTCCCAACATCATATACATACAGGTTATTAAAATACATTTTCTTTGATCTCATACTAATTACACCGACAGACAGATATAATTTCTCACAGATGCAACAGATACCCGTACATACCCGTACATACCAACCAATCTTTTGGGAATCAAACAGCTTATTAAATGCTTCACTTGTCCAAAGGATTAAAAGACCACCTTTCAGAAAAATATGAGAACATTTTCACAGGAATAAATAAATCGTATGTGTGATGACATGACATCATTCCTACACTTTCGTATGCATTTATTTTTTGTCCAACTGCTGAAAATAGTTGCCGGTTGAGTCCAGTGATGGTGTGGTTTGGTGTATGTTTAATCCGATTGACTGGAAATGTTTTTCATTTTAATTTCAAAAATACAAACATATTTATGTATAATGCTATTATCACATTGTGTGTATGTATGTGTATGAATTTAAATTTAAATATTGAAGACCATTTGATTGTAAATGTATGTGTTTAATCTGTATTTGTTACCAATCAAAATCTATAGATGATGACAATTACAGTTATTGAAACTTTTAATTAGTTTTAATTAAAAATAATACAAATCTGATTGGAAAATGTCGATAAAATATTGTTAAAGGTCTATTTATAAAAATATTAATTGGCTTGATTTTACATATCGTTACAGTATAAAGCCGTGGAATTATTTTTTAATTATGAAACAATTTTATAAAACAATACAAGTATGTATTTAGTTCGATACCACTCATTCTTCAGAATATGTACCATCATATTAACATCGTACATTATATTTGACCTTTTCATGTTTGCGTTACTCGATAAGATCATTGATGTCCACTGCCCCATTAGTTCAGTTCTAGTTCAGTTCTAGTACAGTTCTAGTTCAGTTCTAGTTCAGTTCTAGTTCAGTTCTAGTTGAGTTCTAGTTGAGTTCTAGTTCAGTTTTAGTTCAGTTCTAGTTCAGTTCTAGTTCAGTTCTAGTTCAGTTCTAGTTCAGTTCTAGTTCAGTTCTAGTTCAGTTCTAGTTCAGTTCTATTTAAGTTCTGGTTAAGTTCTAGTTCAGTTCTAGTTCAGTTCTAGTTCAGTTCAGTTCTAGTTCAGTTCTAGTTCAGTTCTAGTTCAGTTCTAGTTCAGTTCTAGTTCTAGTTAAGTTCTAGTTCCGTTTCCTTGAACTGTATTGCAAGGGTCAGATAGACATTCTGTAACCCCTCTTTTATATTATTACATATTTTGTTAAGCACCATTTTTTGTGAGTCGGTCTGATATACATAAATTCTGGGTACATATCGTTCCCCGATATCTTAAAGCTTTCTAAAAATATTGTTATTGTTGTAACAGTTCGATTATGACCGGTAGTTCTAGCCTGAAGAAATCCCTAGACATATTTTACCGGAATTGACTTTTGAACTTAGAGATTCATATGCACTGAGGCATAATCGCAAACGGTGATGGGAATTTTTTATGATATCCGTTTTGCTGGAGGAAATTTAGTCTCGGAAAAATAATCACTCCCACTCCTTCTCAATTATCATACAACAGATATTCATCACATTAGTTTTTCGAGATATCATGTCCTAAAATTAGAAGAAATCATTTAACAGGGTGAGGACATCTTTGTTTATATTTATCTATCATCTGATATCAAAATACATATATGTATGACAACTTTAAAACAGAGTCTTTGCCTCTCTTATATATATTCTTCGTTCTTGGATATATCTCAGTCTACAACTCAATACTTTAGAAAATCTTCACAGAACTCCCGGTTAAAAATTCGTTGGCATGTAAAATTACTGTTGAATGGAAGTCATGCAGGAAGCTGGGCAATTGAAAATGGGTTTGGTGTGAATCCATCAAGAACAGAACTAGTTCTCTTCACTAGGAAATATGAAGCTACAGTTTAGCTACTTCTGTCTAACGGCGTTAGACTGAATTTGTCGGAAGGAGGCAAATAACTAGGGACTTTCCTCGAGTGCAATTGACTTGGAAGAAGGATATACAGGAAAGGCTAAAATGGATCTCAATACCTATTACACGCGACTAAAGTGTGGCGGGTAGTGATGAGGAAAAGCAGCTATAGGATTATATTAACAAGGGCCAAAGTTACAGGATATTCTTCTAAATCTGCTCCTCATTGAGAAATATCTTGAGAGTGTGGCGGCTAGGAACGTATTTAGACTATTTGAATCACCTAGAGGCGGGAATGCCACGCTAGAATATTGTATGATGTAGGTTACAACCCTGGACTACGGAGATACATATTTAGTAGTTGATTGAAAAGTGTTTGAGGGGTCTACAGTCTTTACTGATAGATCCAAGATAGAGATAGGTTGATAGCAACATAAAATAGTCTTATAGATCTTACAATCTGAAAAGCCGCCTATAATACAAATACACAAGTTACTAGGACATCGGAAGTAAGAATTTATGTTGACAGCAGCTCCTAAAGTTTTAAAATATTGCATTCTAGCTTGATTAAAGATGCAAAAGGGTCCTGAAAGTATTAGTCAGGGACACTGTGATATGTATACAGAGTAACGAGATCGCAAATACAATTGCCAGACTTGTTTCGGATCGGAACCTTAATAATAGTGATAATTCTGTAAAACCTTTTATCTGTTATTACTAAAGACTAATCTCCGAAAAATTCAAAGACTCCAACAAGTGATTCTGGATCAACCGGAAGGGTTGCAGAGTTTCTAAGGCACTAAATAGAGTACTTAGAATTGTTCAGGAAGAGTATAAGAACTATAGTAGATGTAATTACTGGTCATTGTGCAATTGGAGCCATTAGGGGTAAAAGGGTTGAAAACACGCAGTATTTTTGCAGGTTGTGTGAAGACAAATATGAACTAAAACAAGTATAACATATTTTATGCAACTGTTCTAGAGTATAGAGTCTGAAACTGAAATGGCTAGGTAAAAAATTGCACTGGAAGATGTAGCTGGGCATAACTAAGGCGATATTCTAGGTTTCATCTAACGAGATCAATCAAATGTATTTGAAGTTCTAGTTGATTCTTTTCGATCCCGTTGATTTTGCAAAATTTCCCAAATTAAGAAGGATTTAATTCAATCAATTCAATTGATCAATCAAGCAATTTATATCAGAAATTTATCTGATATAAATTGCTATAAAAATTCAAAGCCATTTATGTTATTTACTTGTATAACCCACTGTAGAAAAAAAGTTTATTGTACAAGCATAAATGGCCAGGACACCAGCTGGATGAAGAAATTTTTTAACAAATAATTATTGTAGCCATACAATGTTACATATATATTTTCCTTTTTTTTACACAACAAAAATAGACAATACTGCAGTCGAACAATGGGCGTATAAGTAGAAAAAAAACTACATACACATACTTTCATATAAATGCAAATAAAACAACTACATACAACAAAAGGATACTCGTTGTAAATGTATGAGTGTATTATGACATTGTAATTGGTATTTACGCAATAACGAACAAACATACACACACACACACTCACCCACATACTGTACAAATACGAAACCTTTAGATATTTCATAGAAAAAGAATCAAATGGAAAAATACAGGCAAAATCCAGTTTAAGGGATGAAATTGCATTCCAGTGATATACATATGAACATAAAACAACAATACATTTGGACAACAGAGCAGGAGCAACAAGGAGAGATGAGTGTGTGTGTAGGTGAAAGTATTATTTTATGTGGTTGTGAATGTGAATAGTGCAGTGCAGTGCTAGAAAACCATAACAACCAATCCTGATTGAAAGATTTCCTATGGGGTCATTGTTTCGGGTAATTTGTTATTGTAGGAGCAGATGGGAGGTGAGTGTGCGCAGTAGATGGAAATAATGCATAATTTGCACAAACGTGGCATGATAGGATAAAAGGAAACGGAAACTTACACACACAAGTTGGCAAAAACGAATACATAGATAAATATCTACTATTGTATACCTGACAAGTATGCAATACTTTTTACACACGCATGAAAATAAAGAAAAAAATAACAATATTAATATTTCTGTGTGTGTGTGTGGTAATGACAACTAGATGAATCATATTGAAATTATAGAATTCTTTATTAGAATCCTTTTTACACTTGTTGCATACAGACGCGTTTGTTAAAATTTTATTTGAAACGGAAAAAAATATATAAAAAACTAAGAAAAAAATCAATAAAATTTTTAAAATAAAAATTATAAATTTAAATATTGTGCTAAAAATATCAATATATTAAAATGTGTTTCATAACATTTCAGTTATTATTTTAAAAAAATCAACAATTGTTAAGAATTACTAACTAAAAATTTAAGAAAAATAAAATCATGATGTTTGGCATTTGTGATTTGGAAACATTTTTTAAAGTCAACATAACCTAAAAAGGAAAAAATTTATATAAAAAATTTAATTAAAAAATACATGAAATAATTTAAAAAAAAGTGAAATTAAGTGTTTTGTAACAAATAAAATTAAATCATAATCCAAATAAAATACTTAACACAACAGCTGGTAATTGGATTTCTGCTGCATATTGGATTTTAATAAAACAAATATTTTTGATAAAATGGAGGATGAAAATGACGATAGAGATGACACTAAAAGGTAAGTGGGTGGATTTTTTCTTTTACAATAAAAACTATTATTCAATGCAAAATAACTATAGGAATATCTTACACAATTTCTAACTAAAAGTGTTAAATAATCCATATCTTATATGTCATTCGTAGTTGGTAACTAATATAGTTTCTGGTACAAGAGATAATGATGTAAAATGAATGATATAAAATTTTAAATATATGTATTTTAGATTTAGCCAATTTTTTTTAAAATTTCAAAAAATCAAAAAATCCGAGTCCTTATAAATAGCGGACTCCATTTAGCCATGTCCGAACGTATGTTTCAATAAGTTTTCAGAAGACCCCAGACAATGAAGATAATATCCTGTCTTTCTTAAAGAACGCTATTTAAAATTTACATCGGCCCATAAATTATGAAAATATGAGAAAATTCCGAAACAACGCATACAAATATTATGCCTTTTTTCATACTTGATTCACAATTTATTGTTAATAACTCCCTCTAGAATATCGGCATTATTAGTGGATCGATCCATAATTGATCATGGCTCCCATATAAAGCCCATACAGAAAATCCATTACATGAACAAAGTTAATTCATTAACAAGTAACCATATCGGGATAAATTTTAATATTAATATGTTGTGTACATACACGAATTATTCAGCGAAACTTTTTCCGGATTGGCTCAAAAATCACTTAAACGTAAATCAATTAATAATAATGACAATCATTACTTAATAATGATATCGGAAAAAAATTCAACACGAAAAATTTTGAGCGCAAGTTTTTCTGCATCGGCCACAGCTATCAAATAAAAACCTCTTCTGAACATGAATTAATCGTAAAAAACTCATTACTTTTGATATCATAATCGATTTGAACTTCTACACGAATATGGTTACAGTCAGGTTCACTATATTACAGCAAGTCCATTCGCCTTTTCCTCTGGAAAAGTACTCGGTTAAAGTTCTCTTCTCTCTTAAAGTCCAGTACAGTCTTTGATTTAACAATTTCACCTGATATCGCCATAATTACCTTCTGGATGTCCGTAATATATGTTTATCTCTATTGGCGCCATATTTATTACAATCTCCAGGATCGAGTTGTCTCCCAGTTAGAGCTATCCTTGAAATAACAGACTTTTAAGGGTATTCCTTGATGACAGATCCCATCTTGGTGTATTGCAATCCGGGGGTATATAGGTGCTACCAATACTTTTAGTCGGCCGGGACTATAAATTGGTGTTTACAATTTAGTGCCTGGCTTAGTCCTTGCATAAATTGGAAAGAAGTCTAACCAGAGAACCACATAATCTGGAACTACGGGTGGCCAGTTGCCCGCAGGACTATGTCCTGGCTGGTCAGTTGTTTGAGGTTACTTCCGGATCCACGTAGTGGCTGTGGTTTAAACCCAAATTCGCGGGAAGAGTGTTTACTGATGTTGTTGGGGTATCTGTTGTTTACTGATGTAAACAACAGATACCCCACAGTGGAGTGACTGTGGGCCTAAGCGTTGTAAATGAGTTGTTGTTAATTGTATATGGTACGGGATGAATGTGGGGTATGCGGGCCTCACCCACCCGTTTATCTAGAATAAATGTGTCATATGTTTTTCTCTTATGAATGTGTCGGATAAATGAGAAGTGTGCTGGGTTGGTTGTATGGTGATGGATGAAAGGTATCATATGCAAATGACACCATTGAATTTCCTTCCTTGTCCAGATATGTTCAGAGTAAACTTTGTTTATATCAGAATTCCCACAGTGTGTCACTGTGACCAAGAACAAAGTCTCGGCTTATTTGATGGATTCGTACTTCGGTCTACCGGTTACGTCTCTAGGTGCTTTTGCCGAATCAACAGAGGCCCTCCCATCTGCGTGGTTGTAAACGGAAGTGATGTTTTACATCTCGGAAGTTAAGCAACGGGGCAGCAATGGTCAGAGATTAGATAGCTCAAATACTCGAGCAAAGTGCTTGTACATGGACCGGCTTTATCGATATACAAAAATTGCCACCTGATTTCTTCATTGAAGATTGAGGGGGCGGTGTTGAGTCGTCACAAAGCTCACCTAATGGTTGAAAAAGACCAACTTGAGATAGGGCTACACGCCGGGTACTCACGTAAAGCCCTTCGACATCCCTCCCCTTCACCATAATATTTTATCTGGGATCAGAACCTTATGGTTGACGGAAAATTCGGATCACTTGACACAATATTGCCCATATATTACACGTTTCAACTTAAAAAGTCAATCAGATTATGGAAGCAATCAATCTGATAAACAATATTGACAAAGATTAACACAATTCAGCATAAATTTAATTAATGTGAAAATCGTAAAACCATCGTTCAACAATAATCTAAGGGACAATGATGTTTTGCCGCTGCATAGTTCTGTGTAAATGAATTTTAAAGAATTTCATATATTTTCCATTATATTAATTTCGAGACAAAGTCTAACCGTTTACCACAAAAAATGGTGGTTAAATATTAATCCACGACAATTGTATTGCATTACATTTATTAATTCTTTGACACTATAATTAAAATTGTTATTGATTCTTTCTATGATATAATAAATCTTACATGATTTAGACATGTATTTGGTTTATTTTATTTTTAAACGTATCATTTACAAATTAGATTTTTGTAACTTGAGGCAATACGATTTATGTATAAACGGCTGGGATATATTAAATGATATAGATTTGTTTTCTATTTAATTTCATATTTTTATTAATGAAATATAAAAGGAGTTGCTTTTGTGCTATTTTTTTATTGTTTAGTGAGAATTAGTGAATACTATAGAATGGTCTTGACTATAGACGGGTCTATAGTCAAGACTATTAACTGGTCTATAGTAAAGACTATAGACTGATCTATAGTCAAGGCTATAGACTGATCTTTTGTGAAGTCTACTGACTGATCTATAGTAAAAAATATAGACTGGTTCATAGTCAAGACTATAGACTGGTCTATAGTCAGTACCATGGACTGGTCCATAGTCAAGCCTATATAATGGTCTATAGTCAAGACTGTAGACTGCTCTATAGTCAAGACTATAGACTGGTCTATAGTCAAGATTATAGAGTGGTCTAAAGTCAAGACTATAGACTGGTCGAAAGTCAAGACTATAGACTGGTCGAAAGTCAAGACTATAGACTGGTTTATAGTCAAGACTATAGACTGGTCCATAGTCAAAGCTATAGACTGGTCTATAGTCAAGACTGTAGACTGGTCCATAGTCAAAGCTATAGACTGCTCTGTAGTCAAGACTATAGAATGGTCTATAGTGAAAGACTACAGTCTGGTATGTAATCAGGACTATAGACTGCTCTATAGTCAGGACCATAGACTGCTCTATAGTAAGGACCTAGACTGCTCTATAGTCAAGACCATAGACTTTTCTATAGTAGACTTGTCTATAGTCAACACCATAGACTTGTCTATAGTCAAGACTATAGACTGGTCCATATTCAAAGCTATAGACTGGTCACTATAGACCATTCTACAGTCAAGACTATAGATTACGAAATGTTTAACAAATTATATTGTGAAGGAAAAATAATAATTCTAGGCATTTTTGTACACTTCACTGCTTACATTAATGCCTAGTATATATGCTCCTGGCATTTGACAGTCGTACAACTTCACTTCAAATCAAAACAGAGTTTTATTACGCTTGATGAAGTTGTAAATAATAATAGTAGTACCAGCTAAAGAGTATGAATATATTTATGTTTGTTTTCCCATATGCAAGTTATTTCTATTGTTTTGTTTGTTTTATTTTCAAACAAAGTTAAGTATTTTTACGTTGTAAAATGGTCACATCAAAATGAAATAATCTGTCAAATGCATTCGTTTAGTGTTGCGAATATTTTCCCAGGAATTTTTATATAATTTGAATCGATACTTGTACTCGTATTTGATAATGTTTCCAATGAAATGGGTAATGCGGTCTAAAGAAAACAATAAGAGGGTGCAGAATGAGGACAAAACGTGAAAAAACTATAGAAATGTTAAGTAATATTAACTGGTATTGCTGCAATAAAAAAAAACAAAACATGTCTAGTAAATTTAAAATGAATTTCGGATGGTGACTTTATATAAAGACATCGATTATTTCGTAATTTTTTATTTACGATTAATTTTACCAGAATTTTTTCATATTGATGTCAAAGTTGTTCGTGAAACATTTGAGAATTACAGCTCTAACAGTTTTTCAGATCTACGAATTTTTTTATTTAATTCGCAGGAGAGAGCCACGCCCTATTTGCTAGCCCGCCCGTTTTTCTCCTAAACATTCATATTGGTACTAAATTGGCTCCGGAAAAATTAAAGAATTCTATTTTCTTTATATGTGAGCTTTAACGTCCACTATACCTAAGCCTTTCAGTGTTTCCCCGAAACTTTAAACCTCTACTTATTGCAGTTTCGTATCTTCGAATTCACATGGGAGGAGCCACGTCCCTATTGCAAGCCCGTCCATTTTTTTCCTAAATATTCATATTGGTACTAAAGTATCTCCGAAAAATTTAAGAATTCTATTTTCTTTACCTAAGCCGTTTAGCTCGTAGTCATGACTATGGGTCCTCAACTTTGGGTCTTGATAGTTCCTTCGAGGTTATTATACCTAATACGGAATCAATGGAGAAAGATCAAGGATTAATGTAATGTGGCATAGTTAAGCATCGATCAAGGCCTTACTGTCATAAGTTCATTATAACAACTGACATGACTTAATATAAACGGAATGCCGCATATTCAGGCAATGTGGGTGTCTCTCTTGTAATGAACGTGCTGATTATCTGGCAAATAGGAACGCACATAGCTCTTTTCTCGGCGTGAACGTTTCTTAAGTATTCCACAAAGATATGGGTCGAATTCAAATTTAATTGCTTCTCGATCATTAAAAGTAATCTTAGAAAACTAACGGGACTACTCACAGGACACTATGTGCTCAATAAACTAAATTCAACCTGAACAAGTAAGAGTGTTATATTCAGCTATGCCGAATCTTATATACCCACCATCAAATCGAATGCCGTAAAAAGAATGCTCCTCTGAAAACATCAGGGAGATCAGGCTTAAGACAATTATTTTTGAAGACAAAATACTTTTGTCAAATTTTTAAACTATGAACTATGAATATGTATATGGGAGGTAGGGGCAATTATGGACTGTTTGTCGTAAAATTTGGTAGAAAGATTTCGAGTCGTATCTCGTATTTTAATAGGGGGTAGGGTGAGTTACCGACCCATTCCGCATTAAATTCGGTAAGAAGATTACGTTTCTATAAAAGTTGCTTATGTCAAATTTCTCCGCTATACTCGTATTTTTAAGTCAGTAATGAGCGATTAAATCATTTTCTGATAAGGTATTTGGGTTAGGTCAATAATGGACCGATCCATATAAAGTTTGGTAGAGAAATTTTATGCATATAAAACTTAATTATGTCGAATTTCATCGCTGCATCCCTATTTTTAAATCAGTAATGAGCGGTTAAAGTTATTATCTGAAGGGGACCTTATATGGGGGGTATGGTTAATTATGGACCAATAAAATTTCTTCGAGAGAACTCGTATTTTTAAACCAGCAATGAGCGGTGAAGTTGTTTTCTGAAGGGAACCTTATCAATGTAGGGTCAATTATGGACCGATTCCCATTAAATTTGGTAGAGATATTTTAGATTATATAAAACTTATTTATGTAGAATTTCATCGCTATATTCGTATTTGTAAGCCGGTAATAAGTATTAATGTCATTTTCTGAAGTGGACCTTATATGGGGTGTAGGGTCAATTATGGACCGATCCTAGAGAGAGAGAGAGAGATTTCGACGCATATAAAACTTATTTATGTCGAATTTCATCGCTATATTTTTAAAACAGTTATGACTGTTAAAGCAATTTTTCGGGTGGACACTTGTATGGGGGCTACGCGAAATCGTGGACCGATGTTGCCCATTTGAAATATCAAACAAACCTTACCTATAAGGAATATTTTAACTCTCTAGCTCTTTCCGTTCGAAACCTATCGTGCTTTCAACAGACAGACGGACGGACATGGCTAGATCGTCTTAGAATTTAAAAATGACCCAGAATAAACATACTTTTGTGGGTCTACGACCAATATTTCGATACGTTACAAACGAGGTGACAAAATCAATATACCACTCATCTTTTTTGATGGTGAGTATAAAAATGTTATAAGAATACTATGAAGATTATTTCAACAAGTGTTTCGAGGTATCCCATGTCTAGGGTTCTATCTCAATATCATGGTGAATATCAAAGGTCTGCACAAAAGTCATTGAATTTTATAATTTTTAAACAATTATTTAACCATTTGCCGATTTTATGTTATAAGGGTTAGACGATAGGGTTATGACCAATTATGGACCGATCCTCGAAGAAAGGATTTCAGTCTTATAAAACGTATTTATTTCGCAATACGCTATGTATTTGCAGAAATTTTCAGCACCTTAGATACTTCCATTCTTCAACAGACGTATGTGGTCACATAAATCTAAGTAAGTAGAATTGTTACCATTCTACTTACTTAGATTTATCTAATACTAGCTATACCCAGTGTGCTTTGCTACCCTAAAAGAAATATAAATAAAAAATCTTCTTAATAATTTTGAAGATTCTAACTGCAATGTTTTCCAGAGATGCATTTTTTCGGAACGTTAATTAAGATTTTAATGTAATCGATGACAAATAAAAAAACATCTAATATTTTCCCAGATATACGAAATTTTGTATTTAATTCATATTGGGGGTGCCAAGACCCCATTGAAAGTCCGCCCGTTATTCTCTAAATGTTCACATTAATGTCAAAGATCTTCATGTAGAATTTGCTCATGAGTTCTAATAGTTTCTCAGATATACGAATTTTTCTATTTAATTCATATGGGAACTCACAGCCCCCAGATGAAAGTCCGCCCTTTTTTTTCTCCAAAATGTTCATATGTATAATAAAGTTCTTCTTGCAATATTTGAAGAATCTTGTTCTATTAGTTTCCCAGATAAGCGAAATTTTGTATTTAATTCATATGTGAGGTGCCAAGCCCCCCATTGAAAGTCCGCCCGTTATTCTCTGAATGTTCTCATGAATGTCAAAGTTCTTCAATTAAAATTTGAAGATTCTAGCTCTAATAGTTTCTCAGATATAATATTTTCCTATTTAATTTATATGGGGCTCCAAGCCCCCCATGACGAAAGTCCGCTCTTTTTTCTCCAAAATGTTCAGATGAATATTTAAGTTTTTAGTGCAAAATTTGAAGAATTTAGTTCTATTAGTTTGCCAGATAAACGAATTTTTGTATTTTATTAATATGGGAGGTGCTGCTCCCCTCATGGGTAGTCCGCCAATTTATTTCCTAAAATGTTTACATGGATGTTAAAGTTACTCGTGCAAATTTTTAATATTCTAACTATAATAGTTTCCAAGATAGACGAATTTTTGTATTTAATTTATATGGGAGGTGCAACGCCCCCTAATGCTAATCCGCCCACTTTTTGTCTTAAATAATTATATTGATACTAAAGTTGCTCCGACAAAATTTGAAGACTCTAACTATTATATTATCTCAGATATACTAATTTAATATTTTCTTAATATGGGCGTGGCACGTCAGGAAAATCGGTCCAGCCGTTTAGCACTCTATAAAGCACAAACAAACAAACAAACAAACATACATACATACATACATACAAACACACTTTCATTTTTATATATATAGATAGATTTGAAATTATGCTGTTATTTTGCAATTTTATTGAATAATGTTCCACCCTAAAATGAGTACCGACTTAATGCTATAATCATATGCACATACATACATATGTATGTACGACGTACATTGTACGTACATCGATACGTATGTTTATGTTTTATGCAAACAATGAAATACATAAATAAATCCCTGTAATCATAAACATACGTTTAAATTTAGGTTTTTTTTAATAGAAGGGGTGGTTTTATTTAGATATTTATGATTTTTTGTTTGTTTTCTTCATAACAAATTGTAATAATGACGTAAGAGTTCAGGTGTAAAAAGTGTAACAAAACATATTAACAATTTAATGAAATCAATCAGTTATTTAATTTGAATGAAGAAATATTTTTTTGAAGACTTTGTGTGAATTGCCAACCAGAATAACGGTTGTATGGGTTTAAGAATACGCTAAAGTGGTTCTAAAAGCTGTTTGTTTTAAATAAATTTTTACATGAGCTTTTCAGTGAAAAGCTTCATTATATTTCTAATGGCATTGCATATACAGTTTACGGATACATTTTATAAAACACATTTTATAACGTATGGGAATATCGGAGTCTATTCAAACACTAGCTATACCCAGTGTGCTTCGCTACCCTAATGTTCATATGGTAGTTAAAGTTGTTGGTGCAAAATTTGTGGATTCTAGCTCTAATAGTTTCTCAGATATATGATTTTTTGTATATAATACACCATGCCCACTATTGCTAGTCCGCCCATTATTGTCTTAAATATTCATATTGATAGTAAAGTGAGTGCCACTAATTTTCCCTATTACAAATATTTTCACTTATATACTAATGTGATATATTCTGTATATGGCAGCTGCCATGCCCACTATAGCTAGTGTTCGTACCAAAGTTGAGTTCTCTTGATGTCAGAGTTTCTGAGAGATGCGACTATGAATACTTATTTTGTATGTGGGAGTGGCACCTTATTCATATGACTTCAACCATATTACAACATACATACGACGACTGAACTTTAAGTAAATATTCCATGAGGTCTGTGAAAAGAACGTAATTAAGAATTAAACCTTAATTTTATATAGAAATGTCGAAAATTAATCATTGTATGCATACAGGGATAATTTTATATATAGAATAGATCTTTTAACAAGATACTGCGATCACATTTATTTTTCAGCAAGTTTATAACTCTTCGTTAACTTTATATATTTTAAATTTACACTTCTGAATTTTATTTTTATAATTTTAGAAGATCTCGAAATCTTAGTGAAAAGAAACGTCGAGATCAGTTCAATTCATTGGTCAATGACTTAAGTGCATTAATCTCAACCTCAAGTCGGAAAATGGACAAATCAACTGTACTCAAGTCAACAATAGCATTTCTAAAACATCACAATGGTTGGTATATATCTTTTACGGAATTTTTAAAATATATAAACAATTTTTTTTTATATAAACAGAGGCAACCGATCGTTCGAAAGTGTTTGAAATACAACAGGACTGGAAACCCTCATTCCTAAGCAACGATGAGTTTACGCAACTAATGCTGGAGTCATTGGATGGTTTTATTATAGTTTTCGGTAGTCGTGGTTCCATATTTTATACATCCGATAGTATAACAGCTCAATTGGGTTATTTACCGGTAAGTTTAAGCATTTAATTTAAAAGAAATATTTGAAAACTTAAATACTTCTTTAATTATTTATTTCAGTGTGATCTCACGAAGAGAACAATTTTCGATTTAGCTTACGAAATGGATCATGAAAATCTCTTAAATGTTTTCCTAAATCATAAACCCGTCATTGAACCAATGCAAACCGATATCAGTTCACGCAACCAAATCACATTCTTTGTGCATCTGAAACGTGGTGGAATTGATGATCGTAGTAGTGGCAATACATATGAATTAGTAAAATTTGTAGGTTATTTTAGTATGTATTCCGTAAAGTATATGAGATTATGATTTTAATAGGTATTAAAAATATATTAATTATCTACTTTTCTCTATATTCTAAATATTTTAGGAAATGATGCTAATGTAGAAGGAAGTATGCAAAATACTCAAACTGCGTTACCACGTATTTTACAAATGAATGCGGCCAATGAGATTGATAAGAAGTTGATATTTGTGGGTACGGGACGTTTACAAATGCCTCAGTTGATACGTGAAATTACGGTAACGGATCCTACGCGCAATGAATTCACCTCTAAACATAGTATGGAATGGAAATTTTTATTTCTGGATCATAGAGCACCGCCCATAATTGGTTATATGCCATTTGAAGTTTTGGGTACCTCAGGTTATGACTACTATCATTTCGATGACATTGATGATATAGTAAATTGTCACGAGGGTTGTAAGTATTTTTGGATGGAAAACAAATTAATATACTATTTCGCGAGATATTAAATAATGTTTCCTTCTAAAAATTTTCTAGTAATGCAGTCTGGTAAAGGTAAATCTGGTTACTACCGTTTTCTAACCAAAGGCCAGCAATGGATTTGGCTACAAACCGATTTCTATATATCTTACAATCAATTTAATGCCAAACCTGATTATGTAGTCTGTACCCATAAAGTTGTTAACTATGCCGATGTGCTCAAGAATCAGAAAAAAGATAAACAAGGTCTATTATCGAACACCATTTCTGCTGACAAGATCAAATCTCCCGCCTCGGTTGTACGTGATTTAGAATCATCCAACTGTCATGTAGAAACATCAGCAACAACACCCGCCACAACATCGACTCTTACGACTGGCAACAGTAGTAGTGGCTTGTGTAATAGTGTTACATTACTAGGCGACATCATAAGCAATGAAACATCGCCCAGTATGGATACTTTATGGACAAATGCATCAACACCAACGGGAGCTGGGACTAGTCATATTAATCCATTAAAATCGGCATCACGTCCAGCTTCCAGTTATGGTAATATTAGTTCAACTGGTGTTTCGCCAAATGTCAAAAGAAAACGTTATCCGTATCATTATAGAGGCAATGAATCGGACTCCACATCAATGTCGGCCGATTCCGGTACGAGTAGGCATTCATTAATGACACACGTAAGTTCGGTAAGTGGCATGTATTGTTTTTTTCAGAAAAGCACCTGTTTTTATACGAAAAGGTTCATTGTGATCTTCAGCTATCAAAAACCCAGCAATAGAAAGTTAATTAGTTAGAAAGGTAGATAAATAGTAAGTAAGTAAGTAGTTAGTTAGTTAGTTAGTTAGTTAGTTAGTTAGTAGTTAGTTAGTTAGTTAGTTAGTTAGTTAGTTAGTTAGTTAGTTAGTTAGTTAGTTAGTTAGTTAGTAGTTAGTTAGTTAGTTAGTTAGTTAGTTAGTTAGTTAGTTAGTTAGTTAGTTAGTTAGTAGTTAGTTAGTAGTTAGTTAGTTAGTAGTTAGTTAGTTAGTTAGTTAGTTAGTTAGTTAGTTAGTTAGTTAGTTAGTTAGTTAGTTAGTTAGTTAGTTAGTTAGTTAGTTAGTTAGTTAGTTAGTTAGTTAGTTAGTTAGTTAGTTAGTTAGTTAGTTAGTTAGTTAGTTAGTTAGTTAGTTAGGTTAGTTAGTTAGTTAGTTAGTTAGTTAGTTAGTTAGTTAGTTAGTTAGTTAGTTAGTTAGTTAGTTAGTAGTTAGTTAGTTAGTTAGTTAGTTAGTTAGTTAGTTAGTTAGTTAGTTAGTTAGTTAGTTAGTTAGTTAGTTAGTTAGTTAGTTAGTTAGTAGTTAGTTAGTTAGTTAGTAGTTAGTTAGTTAGTTAGTTAGTTAGTTAGTTAGTTAGTTAGTTAGTTAGTAGTTAGTTAGTTAGTTAGTTAGTAGTTAGTTAGTTAGTTAGTTAGTTAGTTAGTTAGTTAGTTAGTTAGTAGTTAGTAGTTAGTTAGTTAGTTAGTTAGTTAGTTAGTTAGTTAGTTAGTTAGTTAGTTAGTTAGTTAGTTAGTTAGTTAGTTAGTTAGTTAGTTAGTTAGTTAGTTAGTTAGTTAGTTAGTAGTTAGTTAGTTAGTTAGTTAGTTAGTTAGTAGTTAGTTAGTTAGTTAGTTAGTTAGTTAGTTAGTTAGTTAGTTAGTTAGTTAGTTAGTTAGTTAGTTAGTTAGTTAGTTAGTTAGTTAGTTAGTTAGTTAGTTAGTTAGTTAGTTAGTTAGTTAGTTAGTTAGTTAGTTAGTTAGTTAGTTAGTTAGTTAGTTAGTTAGTTAGTTAGTTAGTTAGTTAGTTAGTTAGTTAGTTAGTTAGTTAGTTAGTTAGTTAGTTAGTTAGTTAGTTAGTTAGTTAGTTAGTTAGTTAGTTAGTTAGTTAGTTAGTTAGTTAGTTAGTTAGTTAGTTAGTTAGTTAGTTAGTTAGTTAGTTAGTTAGTTAGTTAGTTAGTTAGTTAGTTAGTTAGTTAGTTAGTTAGTTAGTTAGTTAGTTAGTTAGTTAGTTAGTTAGTTAGTTAGTTAGTTAGTTAGTTAGTTAGTTAGTTAGTTAGTTAGTTAGTTAGTTAGTTAGTTAGTTAGTTAGTTAGTTAGTTAGTTAGTTAGTTAGTTAGTTAGTTAGTTAGTTAGTTAGTTAGTTAGTTAGTTAGTTAGTTAGTTAGTTAGTTAGTTAGTTAGTTAGTTAGTTAGTTAGTTAGTTAGTTAGTTAGTTAGTTAGTTAGTTAGTTAGTTAGTTAGTTAGTTAGTTAGTTAGTTAGTTAGTTAGTTAGTTAGTTAGTTAGTTAGTTAGTTAGTTAGTTAGTTAGTTAGTTAGTTAGTTAGTTAGTTAGTTAGTTAGTTAGTTAGTTAGTTAGTTAGTTAGTTAGTTAGTTAGTTAGTTAGTTAGTTAGTTAGTTAGTTAGTTAGTTAGTTAGTTAGTAGTTAGTTAGTTAGTTAGTTAGTTAGTTAGTTAGTTAGTTAGTTAGTTAGTTAGTTAGTTAGTTAGTTAGTTAGTTAGTTAGTTAGTTAGTTAGTTAGTTAGTTAGTTAGTTAGTTAGTTAGTTAGTAGTTAGTTAGTTAGTTAGTTAGTTAGTTAGTTAGTTAGTTAGTTAGTTAGTTAGTAGTTAGTTAGTTAGTTAGTTAGTTAGTTAGTTAGTTAGTTAGTTAGTTAGTTAGTTAGTTAGTTAGTTAGTTAGTTAGTTAGTTAGTTAGTTAGTTAGTTAGTTAGTTAGTTAGTTAGTTAGTTAGTTAGTTAGTAGTTAGTTAGTTAGTTAGTTAGTTAGTTAGTTAGTTAGTTAGTTAGTTAGTTAGTTAGTTAGTTAGTTAGTTAGTTAGAATTAGTTTTAGTTAGTTAGTTAGTTAGTTAGTTAGTTAGTTATTTAGTTAGTTAGTTAGTAGTTAGTTAGTTAGTTAGTTAGTTAGTTAGTAGTTAGTTAGTTAGTAGTTAGTTAGTTAGTTAGTTGTTATCATTACTATTAAAAAGTAGTTAGTCATTACTATTGAAACGTTCTTGTGTAACTCTTGGACTAAGGTTTGGCCCCTTCTAGGGAAAAATTACAGGATCTGACCATACTTTCCTATAGAAGTATTAATTAAGACACTACGAATTTGAACTTAAACTTGTTTCTTCCTTCTACAGGGTCGCCAAAGACTTTCATCTAGTATGCATCAGCAAAATGTTAACTCATCTGGAAATCAACATCAGCACCATCATCAACAGCATTCCATGTCCATGTCAACTCACAATCAACTTCCACAAGTACTAAACCACCAACAACAGCATCAACAAACACATCACCATCAGCAAACTCAACAGCAAATTTCCATGCAAGTGAATACAAGCACTGGTCAACAGGGACAACAGAAAATGCTGCAAATGCTGCCACAACACTCAACGGCAACTATGGCAGGAAATAATTCATGTCAATTTTCTCATCCTCCATTTCCTCTGCGCAATCCTCAAATAGTGGCACCCACATTTCTAGAACCACCTCAATATTTAACTGCGATACCAGTGCAACCAGTGATAGCACCGTTTCCTGTGGCTCCGGTTATTTCGCCTTTACCGGTAAGAATTTTTTCATCATCAGATAATGATACAGGTATAGGGTCATTCTCATCTTCATCCTCTTGCCTCTTAAAGAATCAATCGGATATGCTAGCAGGACCTGTGATCATGACTCCCACCCAGAGTCAGTTGCAAGAACAATTGCAACGTAAACATGATGAATTGCAAAAACTAATCATGCAACAGCAGGACGAATTGCGTATAGTGTCCGAACAATTGCTATTGGCACGCTACACTCTACTGCAGCCCATGATGCCGGTCAATTACAATACGCCCGTGACGGTGGGGAATAATACTCGAAACTATAATTACAACGGCAATACCGTGCAGCCGCAATTCAATCAGTATGGTTTCGCCATGAATGCGGGTGAAATGCAAAATCAACAAGATCAGCAAATGATGATGCAACAACAGCATAATCTGCAGCAACAAATGCATCAAAATCATGCCCAACAACAGCAATCGGCGCAGCAGTTACAACAAACTCTTATGCAACCGCAACATGTCAATCATCATGAACAGCATGTGCAGCCTCAAACAGAGCAATTGTTAATGAATCGTACCGTGCCCGATTTAGATCAATTTGCCCAAGAAGAATTCGATGCTTTCCTTAATCTCTCACCTTTACATAGCATGGAGGGTTCACAAAGTAATATGAATCCTTTGACTAATATCAATAACAATAACAACAATAGTAATCATTTATTAAATCAAAATGTTACCAACAGCGCGAATACTAATAACCCAAGTGTCAACAACACCAACACCCTACAAACAACCCCTTTTAGTGCAAACCCCAATAATAGCGAAGACTCTTTACTTTCCTACATGCAAATGGCGGCTGAAGCAAGTCCAGCTCTCAATTTTCCCATGGGTATCAGTGATGACGGTTCCGAGAGCCAAACTGAAGACACAAAACTTTTACAAAACACCAATACATCACATCATCTGCCCGGTGGCACGGGAACAACACAGTCTACAGTGGTTCAACCACAACAACGTTCACCTTCATTCTTTCCTCCGCATAATTTTCAAAATCTCACCGTTGCCACACATAATACCAATGTAAATAATTCATCAAATAGTACTTCCACAACGACAAATCCTAGTAATAATGCTGCAGATTCCTTACCGTCAGATTTAGATTCTATATTACCGTATCCCATAACGCAAGATCAATCACAAAATCTATTCAATACGAACAATACGCAACATAATGCGGGAAGTAGTCAATAATATTAGGTGAAATTAAAAGGATTTTTAAAATAGATAATCGTGATAATAGTAAGAAATTGTAATGTAAATAGATAGTAGTACTTATGTATGCAAATTTCTCGAGATAGAGTTGAGTGTCTAGAATGTTCTTATCAGACTTTAAAGTTTTTATTATATTCGGAATCGAATATTGGCTCTGAAGTTTTAAATGCTCAAAATTCTGACCTTTCATGGTTTTGTGTTGCATCGAAATATTGGTCATAGAACCACAAAAAAATATTTACTTTAGGTCTTTATAAGATTATAATTATTTGTAGATATGTTTGTATATATATGAATCTGTCCTAGGATGCTGAAACTTTCCTAAAATATGGATAATATCGGTCCACCACTTCACCTATTTAATTAAAATCCCATTAAAATGTTAAATGTGCAGCAATTGTGATAAAATTTTGAACAAGTTAAAAGTCAAAACCTAAAGTATAGACATTATCAGATCACAGCTGACCTTAGCCTCTTCAGAATCACCTTTAATATTTTCAGTTAAAACATATGTATCCAAATTTTCTTAGCAATTTGGACATGTCGAACAAGAATCCATCAAAATATTGAAAATCTTAATTAAAATAATTAAGAATATTTTTGAGATATCGAGGATTTCGGAAAAATATTAATACATACTTTAATTTCCCTTGAACAATTTTTAATTTTTAAATAAAACAAAATTTTAAAAACAAAATATATCAAAACATATTCTAATATATCTCGCCAGAAAACTTGCGTTGTGTAAGATAGAATAACCTAGTAAGCCCATATTGTATATAAAAATATCTTATAATTTAATCCTTAGTGCAAATCTAATATTTTGTAATAATAATAATAATATTGTAAATTAAATAATTTAATGATTTGTAAATTAATTAACAAATATTTCCTTAATGTTATTTATTTTTAAGTATTGAGTGTAAAAAAGTCTTTTCACGGTTATGTATTTAAGTTTTTTTATTTAATTTTAAACTAATTTAGTATTTACTTAAATATAATCAAAGCCCATTTGCAATACTGGTGATATTAAGTAGAAAATATTTTATTTTAAACACAAAAAAAAAACCTCAAATAAAATTATACCCAACGATAAACCCATCGTAAATGAAAGACATAATTATAAGAGATACAGTTTGAAATATATTATTCATAAAAGACATCTTTTCGAAAGCTTCCTTAACATTCAGAAACTTGAAAAAGTCGAAAGCCTGAGACCAAGTTTCATGTCCTCACCTAGGAATTTCTCCATCACCTCTGGGATTTTAGATATCGTGGCCTGAAGTTAAAATACGCAATTTTTGGCCTTTGTGAGACTTTAAGACAATCTTATTTATGAAATGTTATATGTCATCTGAAAGTAAAGATATCTCGAAAAAGAAAGAAGATATGTCAGTTGTTAAGCCTTTATTTTAAAGTTGACAGAATGGACTTTCAAATTGCATACAACATTTTATAAATAAGATTGTCTTGGCGCTGTTATAACGGGCCAAAAATTTATTTTTTTAACTTCAAATCCTAGATGTAATGGAGATATTCTGAAGCCAGATTCATTTGATATTTGGATTCAGTTTTATATATTTTGTTCAGATGTTTATAATTTTATTTAAGACTTAATTTTTTTTAATTCTACACAACTATGGTGTGGAGGGTTTTATGACCTATGACTCAGAATAACTTTCTGAAGCCGTTCATATGTCCGATCATGTCGATTAAAAAAAAAAATTGATGAAATTTGACAAAAAGATATTTTGAACCCAATGACTAAGCAAGCTGAAAATTATTGATATCCGTACAAAGTCCAAATTAATATTAATATTGCTACGAAAGTCGACTTGAATATGTTGTACATGAACATAAAATCATCCAACACTTTCTTCAGTTTCGGTCCATATTTGATCTTAGTCCAAAGTTTATCAAAAAGTCACTACAGTCCATAATTGAAGCAATTCCCACATAGAACGCTTTAAAAATTCACTTAAATGGTTAATGGTATTATATATACAAAACAGTTACCTGAGAAATCCGACATATTTACATAAATGAATGAAAAATATAGATAAAATCTTTTGGTTTGGTTGATAGGAGATCAGAAGAACTACAACAAGGCCACTATCGGTCCTATAGTGCGAAAAAGCATAAACTTTATATAGTGATAGATGAGGCTGTTATCGTCCGATGTTCAAAAACTCAGTTTCCTGAACTAAATTCCTTAGCATTTTCCAATCAGTGTTCGTGAAGCATGTTATATATGGAATAATATCACTACTGAGATGTCCACATGCCCTACATTCCTCTGAATCCCCACATTCAATTTTGTATAATTGTGCTCGTAATCCTGTGTGTCCTCTCAGAATATGTGTCATCAAAACAACCTTAGACTTGCTCATTTAAAGTAGGCGACTCTTTTGGCTCTCGTTAGGGTCACCCTATACGATCTTTCTGATTCTACCCACCGTTTCATTATTATAAGAGGTCTCATAGGATTCTCTCGTCCATATTTAAAATTCTGCCCTTGTCCCTTTAAAGCAAGTTAATTAGCTCTTTCGTTGACGACTACTCCCGAGTAGTCCATATTATGCAAAGCTTACATCTGTGAGAGTATTTGGTTAGATCTTTCTTATAACCCTATACGGTCTTAGATTTTACTTTCTAAGCTGATATCGCCCTAATTGCCTGCTGGTTGTCGGTAAATATGTTAACCTCTCCTGGCGTCATATTTATTCTAATCCAATTTACGCATTTTGTTATTGATCAGACTTCTGCCTGGAATTTAGTGCTGCGATTAGTAGTCAGTAGTATATTTCTGTTCCATCTTCAATATAAAACCCCGGGACCGTTTATGGTTCAGTTTCCAGAATCCTTAAAATGCGACAATTGAACATCTCATAACTCATCGTTAAAACGATTACTTTTACATTAAGTGAAGAACCGGAATTGATCCACGATCCAGCTTGAAGTTGATTTTACGACGTTTGTAAAGAGTAGATCAGAATTGAATACATAGTATATTTTACGTTCATAAGATCATTAAATTCTTAAGTACTATGTTAAGAAAAAAATCTTTAAAAACTCTAATTCCACCAATTAAGAAACCGAATAGAGTTTCTGTTGCTTGAGCTATGTAATCCTAACAGTTTGATATCATTAGGTTGAAGTTATTCATAATATTCGTCTTCCTCCTTAAAGTTCTAGACATCTAAGGTCCGATATTTTTAAACTTTTCACAGTATCGCCCTGAATGTAAAAAAAATTTCAAGTGAATCGAGCAACTTTGACATCCTTATGAACATTAAGAAGAAAAATGATCCTATCATCTAGGAAATTATCTAAAAGCCTAAGATTGTATACGAAACATCTATTATCATTATAAATATTTAGGGTAAAAACGGATGGACTAGAAATAATAGCCGTGGCACCTCTCATGTGATTAACTACTATAAGTCGTTTATTTTAGAAAATGTAACAGAAAGAGTCCTCTAATCTTTACTAGCGCTTTAACTTGTTTCCCCTAAATTTTAACAGATATGTATTTCAAACTGTGTCTGAAATAACACATTCAATAATTTGTGATTTCATTTTAAGCTTTAATTTAGATCGTAATTATAATTGAAAATTAATTTTAAACAAAACTTTTGTTCTATCTCATTAATATTAAATATTGAAACATGTAAATAGTTTACTAAATAGTAAATTGAAATAAATGTGAATTGATTTCTTTAAGTGTACATATTATTTTTATAAGATAGATTAAGACAACATATACATATGTAAATAACTTGCAAAATTAATGTTATTATAGATTTTTATAAACAATCAAACTAATTAAGCACACATTAGTAAAATTATTAAAATTAATCCATGGAAAAAAAAAACAAACGATGGAAAATAAAGCAGAAACAAATCATTAAACTTATAAAAAAATTTTATTTATTTTTAAAAAACTATAAAAAAATTTACTTAAATTAATTAATGAATTACTAAACTAAGATTATATAAATGCGTAAGTAATTAGTATAAATGTATTAACGCTTAATTCTAATTAGATTTTTAATTTTTGCACAGCATTTTGCAAAATTTGGAATTCCGAATTGATATTTTCCATTAGATTTGCAATTTGATGTTTCGAATCCAAAACTTCAATGCTCTGGGTGTAGGCGTTATAGCGTACGCCAAAGGGACGGGGAATGGAGTTGGCAAATTTACTAAACAAATAAAAAATTAATAATATTAAATTGTTATTTATAAAGTAATATTTTTTCAACTTACATAGTCTTTTCCTTGGCACTTTCAAAACTATCAGCCACATAGTAGACTTCCTGGAATTGTGTAATGGGATATTTGGTGATACCAGTAACTTCGGGATCGAAATCCTTGTGTTGGGGTTTATCACTTAAACAATATTGTAGCTCACCGAAAGAGGAAAGAAGACCAGCACCATAGGCTTTTAGTTCACCTTCTTGGCGACACAAACCAAATTCAACGGTAAACCAAAAGATCTATAAAAGATGTATCAATATTTAATTCTTTATATTTTTATTTGATTAAAAAAATATTTTTGAACTTACAGTGGCCAATTTTTCAATATAATCATCAGGAGCGCCCAATGAAGCTAGACCGATTTCTTGACAGAACTGAGCAAAATCGGGATCAGCAAATAGTGGTACATGACCCATTAATTCATGGCAGACATCGGGCTCAGGAGTATACATGGGCTTACTGGGATGTCTAATATATTGGGTGGAATGGAAGACACGGAAAGCTAAACCAGCCAAAAAGTCACGAGATGATAAAAGACCAGCAACGGGACGCAAAGTGAAACCGGTACAATCTAAAAAAAATTGTAGTAAATGACATTGATTATATTTGGTTCTGAAAACTTAGTGTAGATTATAAACTGGACTACTGGACTAAACTATAGTCTGGGCTGTACACTAGATTATAGACTAGACTATAGACTAGACCACAGACTAGACTATAGTCTGGATTATAGATTAGACTTTAGTCTGGACTATATACTAGACTATAGTCTAGATTATAGACTAGACTATAGTCTAGATTATAGACTAGACTATAGTCTAGATTTTAGACTAGACTATAGTCTAGATTATAGACTAGACTATAGTCTAGATTATAGACTAGACTATAGTCTAGACTACAGACTAGACTATAATCTAGATTATAGACAATAATATAGTATGATTATAGACTAGACTATAGTCTACATTATTGACTAGACTATCGTCTAGATCATAGACTAGACTATAGTCTAGATTATAGACTAGACTATAGTCTGGATTATAGACTAGACCTTAGTCTAGATTATAGACTGGACTATAGTCTGGACTACAGACTATACTATAGTCAGGACGATAGCCTAGACTTTAGTCTGCACGACAGACTAGACTATAGTCTGGACTACAGACTAGACTATAGTTTGGACTATAGAATTGACTATGGTCTGGACTACAGACTAGACTATAGTCTGGACTATAGAATAGACTATAGCCTGGACTATAGACTAGACTATAGTCTGGACTTTAGACTGGACTATAGACTAGACTATAGTCATGACTATAGACTACACTACAGAGTAGACTATAGTCTGGACTATAGACTACACTATAGTCTAGTATATAGTCCAGGCTAAAGTCTAGTCTATAGTCCAGGCTAAAGTCTAGTCTATAGTCCAGGCTAAAGTATAGTCTATAGTCCAGGCTAAAGTCTAGTCTATAGTCCAGACTAGACTATAGTCTGGGTTTTTGGATTTTTGGTTTATAATTTTTATGCAATTACCTTTTAAGAAATTGGAAACATCTTCCAATTGAGGAATGTTATCCTCACGGAAACCGCAATTGTCCACCAACAAGGGGAAAACATGATTGTACTCTTTGCAGGCATGAGTTTTATACAATTTGGTTAAATGTCTAAACATAATGCCCCAAGTTTCGGTTTCTTCTTTGGTGTACTCCACATGAGGCAAAGGTTGGCCATGTTTGTAATTGTAAGCAATATCAGCAAAATATTTTCTAAAAAAGGAAAAAAATATATTAGTATTAAATAAATTAAAAAAGTTCAATTTTGTTATACCTTCTAGCTCTATAAGTAGGATCGGTAAAACCAGGATGGTCTGAATCCAATTCAGCGCCATAACTTAAGATTTGATTAGCAAAACGATCCAAATCACGTATTCTTCTGGGGAACCATGGCACAGCCGATACATTGTCCTTGTAATCACGTGAGATGACATTGAAATAACAGCAAATTTCACGCAACTCATCAATAGCTTTACCCAATTCACCCGATTTGGTATCACATTCTACAAAGAATTCATAACCGGGAACACGCAACGACGAACGTGATTCAATGTGCAAAAGATTAACGTTATGCTTGGTAAAGATTTTCAAGGAGTTTGCCAATGAACCAGAATTCTGATCTTTTGGTGAGAATAACAAACATGTGCTGCGATCTTCTTGCTTCTCAGTGCCTTCGGCTATATAAGAAGAACCCTCAATGCGTGTGGGCTATAAAGAATTATGCAAAAGATTATTGTAAATTAAATGATTTATAATTTCTTATCTCTTTGATTTTATTATTTTGTTAATAAGTTGTTAAAATGCCGTTTTTATGTTTAAAATAAATTTATTTTGTTTTCTTTTGATCTCTCTCCTAGTGGTACGAGCTTTGTTTTTTTTTGATAGTCTTAATATTTAAAGTTTTTCTTATCACTTTGTATTTGAAGACACGCCTATTTTTGTGCGGGTTTTTTGTGTTTTCTGATAATACATTGAATATTCAGGAAATGTTTTTCTTATTTGTGTCTATTTTTAGTTTAAGCTCGTCACAGGGTCAATATGTTTACTTGATCTTTTCGAGACACGTTAATCAATTGTGCGTAAAGTTTGTTTGTTCCGGCCGCCTAGGAAATGTTTATGATGCATGATCGTTTTTTATTGAGTTTTTGTAATCTATTAAATTTGTTTTCACGATACTTTAAAAATAATAGTGATCAGCAAAACAATAATCGTTCTCGCAAGTTCTTATTTTTATAACAATTTTGCAAACTTGATCATTTGATCCATGCATATGATCAGTACAAAATTTCTTAAAATGTTGTCATAATCAAAATTTAATTTTGAAATTGTTTCTCTATGTTGAATATCTTTAACATTAAAAAGTCCTGATCATATTTTACAACAATATAGTATAAAAAATACCAATAATTTATCATTTAGAAAACAATCAATTAGAATTAATTTTTAATTTATTTGTAATTATTTAAATTGCATGTAAATTCTTCGTAATAATTTGTTTTCTCTATAATTAATAAACTTCTCTATTAATTTTTTTTCGAATTCTTTAGCACGTGATCAAGATAAAGAGTGATGATCGCAAGAGTGAGGTAAATAGTAAATGAACCTTTCATGTATTTCTAATCACGATGTCAACATGTGACGATCTCAAATAATAGAGCAATTAAATTGTTTGAGTATATATTGTCTTGCTTATTTTGACAGCTGTCAATTACATTTATTGTAATCAATTATTGAAAATATTCAAATGACTATAGACATTTTCAAATTGTAAACATATAAATTACATGACATAGTCAAAATGTTACGATCTATTCAAATGATTTAAACATTTTTATGCAGATTTTCCTATTTCAAATTAAAATGTCAATTGTTTTCGTTAGACATGAATAAAGAATAAAGTAAAGTTTAAATTGTAATTACTTGAGATGCCAATTCAAATTACTTGATATTTCATTACAATTATCAATTATATAAATGCAATTTTTACTTTATAAGCGATAAGAAACTTGAAGTGAAACTTTGATCATTATAAAAAATATGTAATATAGAATACTCTTTATTCAATCTAGATTATGGAATTCAAATAAAATATGTAATTATAATAGGCAAGATTTAATTATATAAATTAAAATTGTATATTTTTATTCTTAGCAGTAAAATTACGATTATTTATTGCTTACGGTACCATTAAACCCTTGTCATATATCTTGTTTAATAAACTACCCGAATCGATACCAAAGCCAAATATCCATGGCGCTAAAGTAATGCTATGTATTTAGTCGTTCTAAAAGTGTTCTCACTAGATATTATGAGCTGAAATCTAGCCAGATGTTCACGAATACAAGCGAATCTTTTGAAATGTGTTTTGGCCGAAAAACATTCATGCAGAATATAGTCCTTATTATATATCATTTAATAGTCTTCAGTATAGATCAGTCTATGATCTTCACTATAGACCGGGCTATAGTCTTGCCTATAGATCAATCTATAGCCTTTGCTACAGATCAGTACGTTGTTTTTACTAAATATCGCTTTCAGTCTGTATTAAAGTTCATTCTACAGTTTTGTGCAGAGAACAGGTTATAATCTTGATTATAGATCAGTCTACAGTGTGGACCATAGATCAGTCTATAGTGTGGACCATAGATCAGTCTATAGGCTGGACCATAGATCAGTCTATAGTCTGGACTGTAGATCAGTCTATAGTCTGGACTATAGATCAGTATATAGACTGGACTATAGATCAGTCTATAGTCTGGACTATAGATCAGTGTATAGTTTTGACTATAGATCAGTCTATAGTCTTAATTATAGATCAGTCTATAGATCACTCTATAGTCTTAACTATAGATCACTCTATAGTCTTGACTATAGATCGTTTATTCTATGGTATTTGCTATAGATAATTGTATAGTCTTTATTTGTGTAGGGAACATGTTATAATTTTGATTATAGATCAGTCTATAGGGTGGACCATACATTAGTCTATAGTCTAGACCATAGACCAATATATAGTCTGGCATATAGATCAGTATATAGTCTGTACTATGGATCAGTCTATAGTCTGTACTACAGATCAGATTATAGTTTGGACTTTAGA